TCCACAACATGAGCAGAGTTCCCAAAGGTGACTGAGCTTGAACTGGACATTAAAAAGATGACTTTATTCAGCACATGCTACGAAAGGGATCCCGGAAATCACATTAGAGCAGACTTTCCTTTTTTTATGAAATTATATAATTTTTTTCCGATGTAAACATGATGTTTTAACAACGTTTATTTGAAAACTGATTCTGAATTTCCGGCCCAGACATCTGGTGGCTTCAATATCTGCACTGACTTGATCCAGAAGTGACATTAGCCTGTTCAAAACCCTCCTCCCGTTTCATTGTAACCTCCCATATCCATTTTGCTGTACCGTGCTGCAGTGAGCTTGGTGTTTTGCTGAATGCATCAGTGAACCAACAAGGCTGTGCCTCTGCTAAAGACACTGGTCTCTCTGAATGTCACGGACTGAATAAATGGTCCTCTGCCGCTCCTTAATGAGATAATGAGATAAGAGCACTTGTCTCTGAGAAGAGGACATGAAGGGTGCTGACGGCGGGGAAACAGAAAAAATGACACTCCCGCTCAGAGGAGTAGTGAAAGATGAAAAAGGTCAAGGGTAGAGGAACAAAAGAAACCAAAGCAGGATAGAAATTGGATTTCTAAATGAACAGTTCTGTCCTGCCGGGGCGAAGATCCTCGCTGAGATGAATTCCCTTTCTTATCATCTCTTGCTGTTGTGCACTTTCAATTTCCTTTTCTTTGTGTTTTTGTGGTTGTCTTTTGTTTCAAATATGTTCAGTGGCTTATCCTCTCCCTGCAGGGCAGACGTGTCACATTCCTGCACTGTTACACAGGTTTACTGCGGCCTGCTGAGGCCGCTGCAGTGTGACTGTAGCAAAGGTTGTCCCTGGACTTGGTTCTTACCGACTATTCGGGCTTTGGCAAAAAGGGGTCTTATTAAGTGATATTAAAGTAAACAGCACCCAATCCAAGATAAGTTATGTTGAACATTTCCACGTGACCCCTGAATCGACATAAACAAAAAAAAGACAAAGGCAACGACAAGCCATTAGCGGTAGTTGTAAACTATAATCTATAGTCTCATGGCATTGGTTTGAGGGATAAGAAAACAACCTATTCAAAAGAATCTAATAAAATTCACATAATTTGACTGCAAATAATAAATGATGAATGAGAAGTCGCCGCTTGAGAGTTTAAAGTTAAAACCCGTTGACGTCTCACAGCATCACGGTCAGTTTTGTAATCTATTTTGACAGCTGTTGTAAGTAAGTAGAGCAGCTTTGCATGCTTGTTGAGTTGGTGAAGAAACATCAGGACAGTTGGAATATCTGCAAATGGACATTAAGCATTTACCTTCAGATAATTCTAAAGTATCAAATGATATGTCCTATTTTCGTTGTGGAGAAACTGCAGTAGTACATGATGATAATGTAGTAGTATGTACATATAGAGGTGGTGGTGGAATGAGTCCTAAAATCCAGAAATACGTTTTCTCTTCTTGTTCACTTGTTTTATGTCACGGTGTGGTTTTATTTCCTGCCTTATTTTGTAGTTTCTGCTTCTTGTCTCCCTGGGTAACTTCACTTCCTGCCTTGTCCTGTCATCCCCTGTGATTGTCTGATTGTTTCCACCTGTGTCCAATCACCTGCACCTCTCTAGTGTATTTAAGCTGTGTCTCCTGTCACTTGTTGCGTCATTGTCTATCCTTCTGGATGTCTCTAGTTCCTGCCTGCCTTTTGTCCCGGTTCCTGTGTGCGTTTTTGCCCCTTGGCCTTTTGCTTTTTGCATTTTGACTATTAAAAGTATTTTTTTTCTTTAAACTCTGCATTTGAGTCCCGCCTCCCCGCATCCTTGACATTTTAAAATAAATGATTTTGTTGAATGGTCAATGGTTAGATGCCTGTGCTTTATTATCATGTTCTTTGATATAGAATACGTCAGTAAATTCCCTTTTGATATTTCGGGATATGCAAATTGGAAAATATTTACACTTTATTTCAACGACAGGCTTGTACCTTAACTGGGTATTATTTGTTATTACCTTTTCTGGTGTGCTACAGCTGGGCTATTTTGTTTCTGTTTGCATTATATTTATTGTGGTGCCAATCTTTAATGTCCTTTGGAAAAGAGACTTTAACATCCATGAGACTTTACCTGCTTATTTGTTGGGTTAGGGCTAACCATAACCCTAAATACACGTGAGGCCGTTCTGACAAAATCCCATTACTACCTTCAACACAACGTACGCTAGGAACACTCCAGCTCCCCACCACTCTGAAAGCAAACTGACTGGTTAAAAAGAAAAATCAACAAATGAATAAAAGAAGGTCACCATATTAAATGAGGGAGCAGAACTTTGACCCGATGAGCAGCAGTGGAGTTAAATGACTGTAGAACCAGACAAACAAGAGAGGAAGGGATGTGCCAAGAAACCTCCCTCATCCCCTTGTTAGCATCCTGGCACGCACACATGCACACACAGACACACACACACCGTGCAGACAGCTTGCTGGGCCAGATGGCCTCTTGGTGAGGAGCAGTGAAGAGCTGCACAGAAAGGTTGTGTTGATTCATGAACCATGACCTCCACACGTCCCTCGTCCTGACTCCGGACAGCACGTGGAAGAGGGATGGACAGAGATAAGATCACTGAGTATGTGTGTGTGTGTGTGTGTGTGTGTGTGTGTGTGTGTGTGTGTGGCTGTGTGAGTGGTGTGGGGGTGGAGTGGCTTATTGTGGCGACGTGGAGAGGGGGATTATGAATGTAGTGCATGCATGTATAGGTTGGGAGATTTGCATTCAAACCAAGGGAATAGTGACAGGGAATAACAGCATAATGATCATTAATAGGGGTGACCAGATTATTACAAGGTTTATGAAGAACTATTTGTGTGCAGACTCATTTATATTGCCTCTTTGGACATCTAAACTTGCACGAATATGACATTTTGGTGGTGGTTGAAGTTCATTCATCACCAATAAGTAGTGAAAAGGGCAGCAGCTGCACAAGTTTGATGAAGTATATTTACCCTGTAATATCATTGGAACAATATTTTTTGTGAATTGGATCTTGAGAGGCAGATGGCTTTTAAGTATGTATGATGCTGTCAGCGGCTACAATCAATTCGTATGACATATTTCCGAATCATTGATATAATTTTAATTTTATAATTGTTATGAAATTATATATTATGTAATATTTCTGTTATTTAGTCAGTTAGAATTGCAGGAAAAACACAATGATAGAGCTTAATTTGTGTGCAGGAACGGACAAAGCACATAAAATAGATAGCTAATGGTTGATGACATATGAAGATCTACCAAATTATAAAACGAGTGCCAAATATACAATGACTACAAAATCAATTTAAGTGAATCTTTAAGTAGCCTTTGTCAAATCAATGTCATTTCAGAATATGTTTTTTCCTGAATTATTCCCGAAGAACAAAATGTTCACACTTATTTTTTAGATCTCCTTTAACAAAAAAGGAGGTCCGTCCACTTTATATCGCCTTCTGGCTCTGTGTGTGAGTGTGTGTGTGTGCGCATTCAGATGAAGAGGAGCAGGTGGGAAATGTGGGTGTGGCAGTGACAGTGGTGGCGATTCATCACAGCCTGGCGAGTGTGTAACATTGTGTGTGCTTCCTTTGTTCTGTCTTTCTCATTTCCCAGTAACACACACACACACACAGGGACTAAACATAGGAATGTAGCTCCTTAGAAATTAAAGAGAGACATAAAATGTGCAGAGAAGGATCCATTGACTCAAACATGTGAATTAACTTGTGCCACAGTGAGATGGGCACAGCCAGTATTGTTTGCTTTGCTCGTAGCTTGCAGAACCAAGATGTATTGTAAATAAGCTGCTTGCTGACATTTTCAATATGCTAAGTATGAAGTATGAAGATAAAGTATGAACAGCTGAGTGATAGGGAGAATATTTAACATATTGAATATACTCCCTGATGCTACTCAATGGAAAAAATATATACTATATTTGGGGAAAGAGCTCCATTTAGGAGGAAGCCAATAGAGACAATTTAGTGGGGATCAAAGAGCGTCAAAAACCATTGTCTCTCTACTTCAATTAAAGCTCCGCCTGACAAAGTGTTCTTGCTTATACTGAAGATAAAATGTGACATGATTCTCTGTGAAAAATAACGCTTGCCACAATAAACAAAGTACAGTGACACTAAGGTACTTTTTATTTCAATAAATAATCCTGTTTGGTGTACATGTTATAATGGAATTTAACTCTTAAATAACTTTGTTGCATGTACACTGGCATCAGAGAACGTCTAGAATCGGTTTTGTATTAATTCTCGATAGCTTGTTTAATTCTGCCTGATGTTTAAGTGATGTTGTTGCTATAGTAACAGCAAGTGACGTGATTTCTTTAGTTTGGATCACAATCTTTTCTTTATCATAAAGCGCATTTATGTTATTAAAACAATGAGTCTCGGCCTGTCAGAAAGGGTCCGAAGGATTTCGCTTGAAGCTGGGATCAGTCATAATCTGAGCATCCAGGGGGGTTAAATGATTACATAACCGAGGTCTTAGAATAAGCCTCAAAGCTTCAGTGGTACCACACTTTGCACTGGGAGAAAAGCCTTTATTCACCTTATCCACACATTCTTACAGTCTTATCTGACAGCTCAGTTATTTGGTTTAGAGGTGGTGTGCATGTAGGAATTGTGGAGATATTTCATATATATGTTGGGATTGATAACATTGTATGTAATATTAGAAATGTTGGTAGCAGTGCCGTGTCTATGGCGAAGAAATACGTATAAATAACAGTAAGTTCTGCATGCAGTCTACTTTGTTTTTTCTTACTACATTTGAATGAATTAACTAAAATCTTTAACACTCATATGTTTGATTGTTGAATATGTCTTCGTTTCTAGGAGAAAATAGCTATTTCAAGTAAACAGAATACTTCGAAACTATTATGATAACAACTGCCTGTTAAAAAAACACATTTTTTAATGTCAAATAATTGTTATGTGTACTTCCTGTGTTTTTCTGCAGTGCCAGATCTCCCAGGCCCTAAACGGAGTCTCCGACAAAGCTAAAGATGCCAAGGAGTTTCTAGTTCAACTCAAGAACATGCTGCAGCAGATACAGGTAACACCGCACGACACCTTCGCACTAAACACGGTGCGAGATATTCCTTTACGCTTCTCAATTCCATTTCTACGAGTGTAGATTAGAAGATGCCACGTCAAGGCAGATTTGTCGTTGAAACATTTGAACTCGCCTGCACCGACTACTAATGGGTGTAGTGGGCGAGTACTTCACGCCGACATTAGCCTCATTAACATCCCCTTGCATGTCGTTGTGTGCTGATGTTGTGCGGGTGAAACCGGGACACAGGTCTTGTTTATTTCTCACACACAATTTCTGCATTTGGTTGTTTTTGAAGGCTCAAGATCTCCATGAAGGACTGACTATACAGGATTGAACCATTGCTAGTATCCATGCCTGATCACTTATTCTCCACACGTAGAGGTCTTTGCATAATTTAAATCTCTAAACTGGATACATTTTGCTTTTGGGGCAGCTGGTAATGGAAAATAAGCTCCAAATAAATCAGTCACAGAAACACATTGGGCGGCTCACACTGAAGCATTGGAGCCAATCCACCGACTCACTGAACTAAAACAAACCATATCAGCCAAATGTGTTGAGTGGGTGTGTTATTATATGTATGTGTATACACACAAGTGTAAGTTGTCCTCTAGACAGCATTGGTATGCAGCAGAATCTGCCCATCCCGTACCCATTTCCCACACAGACACACACACCGTATGCACTGTGACATCTGGTCAGGCACTGCGCTGGGAACAGGCCTTACGAGTCATAATGCAAAATGAAGATGATTTTGTTTAAACAAAAAAAACCCTCTTAGCACTTTTCCCTGTTCGAGATGAGGGAGTGCGATAAAGATGGATAAAGATGAGGACAAATGGGGGTTGTGACGTTAGAAATAAATATCTCCAGCACTCATCCTCTTATAGATCAGAACTGGGTCCCAAAGTGGAGAATGCGTGATTGAAAAATCACTGCTATCCAAGACCTTATCTCCTCATCATGTGGGCTCAGTGATGAAAATAACCGCGTGGATCTTTCTTGTATTAACTGCCAAATTGTGCAGCGACTGCACGCAGACACATACCAGAATGAATCATTAGTACAGACTGAAGCGCAGAGTTTAAAGTTTTACTGAGGTTGTATCTGCAACAAAATAGCACAAATATACATAATGTGCTAAAAAACCTGCCTGGCACCAAAACTAAATAACCAAAAAAGCCTGATCCTAAAAACAGACAAGGCAATAGGTGACCATGAGGAACAGAAATAATATATGTGTCATGTGTATTTTTGAGATGTGAGGATGATCCACATGCACACATTTCCAGGTGGCGCTTCATATAGGGGACATTTCCACAGTTATATAAGCAGTGCTAGACAGTCAGGTGGTCTTTACATTTGGACATGAACAGGATTTGTGCTGTATCAATGTGTGTCGTGAGGGAATGGAGTGGCAGATGGTAAACATGGTGCAGAATTTATTTATCTTTTATTAACACTATACATTGTTTTTGTCTGCAATCTATTTATAGACAAAATGTTTGTGTCATGAAAACACAACTGGAACTAGCTCTTCTTTGACAAACAGATCAGTAACAAACACAAAGCAGCTTTGTGCTACTAAATGAAAAACAATGAACCAGCAACACATCTATTTTGGTCACAGTCTTGGTTTATTGATCTCTTGCATAAGAGACCGGGACTTCTCAGACATCCTCAAATAGTTTTGTTTGCCAAAATCCCTCAGAGGACTTCTTTGTGATTTCATGCCCATCTGACGAGTGTTTGTGTTGCTTCAGGAGAACGGCGTGGAGTTCGAAGCTTGCCTCGTGGCCCAGTGCGACTCGCTGATCGAGGCGCTCACCAGACAGAAAGCCAAACTGCTCACCAAAGTCACCAAGGAGAAGGAATACAAGCTCAAGGTGGGGCTGATTGATCTCTTATATATGTGTGTGTGTGTGTGTGTGTGTGTGTGTGTGTGTGTGTATGTGTGTAGCGGCAGATCCACCCAGCCTTTCAGCACGCAGGTAGAGAAGTGATCAATACTGCAAATACCTGACATCTTCATCACTTCATTGCGTTACTGGCGAGGGAAAGATGCACTTTTTCTTCCTTCTTTTCTTGCCTAAAGGGAGCAGCCTGTCAAAATAGTAAAAAGAAAGTTAAAAAACAGTTCACCAAGTAATGTGAGAAGCACTGTATTTCCAATCAGTAGTAGTTGTGTCTTACTTTCCTCTGTAAATCCACCCAAGTCGTAGTGGATCACATGGACGCCTGCCCAGCCGCAACGTGCCCGCTGTCCGGCTGACCGTCTGGCGGCGCGAGGGGAAGGGGGGTGTTTGGACGGATGCCCCAAGGACAGTTGTTGTCATTATCTGCAGGCGGGTGGATTGAGATTTAGCCAGAGGGCAAAGAGCTGGAGCCTGCATCAGAGCTGGGACAAGAGAATAACAGCAGCCTGTAGATGTCTGATTGATGCTTTTACATGATATTTAAGGATATTTAGGACATTGTCCTGTCTAACTGATAACATTACCGGCTGCTATTCATGTAAAGAAATGAAAAAAGTGTAAACGTTCTTTTGTATCAGCATTGATTTGGATTTGAAAGAAATGCAAGATGGAATAGAATGATAGTAGGGAGCTTTATTTGTATAGAACCATTTCAAAAAATATGTTAACGTGCTTTACAAGTAAAAAACAAATTAAAATAAAATGACACTTTATACTAATGAAAAAATTAAAGTATCTTCAAACAACAACAATTAACCATGACACATAAATAATGGTGGAACTAATTAATTAATAAATAGCACAATTATTTTGGGCTGTCATTATTATAAGAGATCTGTAAACCTCAGATCTTTAGGTAGTAATCTTCAGTGTAAAGATCTCTAATTCTAATCTATGAAAACGTCATATTTGATAAAAAATTTAAATGCCGTTTACGGTCATATTGTGCAGAAATAATTAAACTATTATTTTGCCACATTGGCTCTTGGTTCATTGGTTAGTCACACAAACAATTATCAGACTAAACACAGCTTGTGTTTGATCTTGAAGAGTCTTAAAGTGTCAGTTATGCAAGTGCAGTTTTAAGAAACAACAAGTGATTTTCATTTAATAACAGCTTCCGCCAGATACAAAACAACAAATCATGACAAAAAAAACAAATCTAAAGACTCTGTCCACACAAAAAAGGACAGATGTTTCTAAAAATCACCAAAGCCAGGAGCTCAATCCCTTAAAAGCAACACATTTTGGTTCCCTCATTCAAAGAACAGATATAATGTTGTTGGGAGTGTTTGTGTTGTTTCTAATACATTCTAAAACTGAAAGGTTTTAGTTAATTTATACATGCAGACGTAACATGCAACATGTGTTTCAGTAGTGTCAACAACGTGTACCAGACGCATATATTTGTACCTAAGCGTCCTGTGGAACGTGAAACGTGAGAAACGTGGTTCGGAGTGTGATGAAGAGACTGTGAGTCATGACAGCAGTGCGTGTCCCAAATCAGGGTTTATGTTTATGTATTGACACCCTCAAATTCAGAGAGAGAGATGCGTGTGGAACATTTTGATAAAGCCTTCATGAGCACGAGGGGGGAAGCTGGCAGCTCGTCTCTCTGGGACACAAGAAGATTGAAATAAATCGGAAATGTACTCTGACTTCACGCTTCACACTTCATGTCGTTTACGCAGGAGATAAGAGCCAACCTGAATTGAAAACAAAATATCTCCTGCTAAATAATTTGACTGTGTGTTTGTGTGTTTTACTTGAACTTCAAAAGCATTTAAGCAGATTTAAGGTGATATACGGACACAAAAACACTACTTTAACCTTGCTTAAATTCTTAAACGTAGCCCACAGCAAAGCCCGAAACCAAACTTTTTCACATGCCACAATCAAGTGTAAACAAAACACTGCTACATGAATTTTAGACACAACATATGAATATTATGATTGTATTGAAATGTGGACATCTTTGTCAGCATTTTAAGCTATTAAAGCAAGACAAAAGACCAATAAAAGACAAAGACACTCTAGGATATTAGAAACAAATTGAAGATCCGGTTCATAAAATTAATAAAAATGCATATAGTGACACCAGAATACAGCCATGATTCTGAAACTGTGTAATCTATAAAGTAATGACAATATTGTAAAACCACTGTAAATCTGCAACTGTAATAGAATAATACCAATGCAGTTATGATTGTATTTGATGTAATGTAATCAACTGGAATGCATGCATGTAATACTTGCACAACAACTGATATTGACTAAGGATCATTCGAAATCCGAGTTACATTGAACTCACCAGAAGACCACTCCCAGAGGTGTGGACACTGACTTTCACACCTTTAAGCATTGGTATAAATACCTGTAGGAACCATTGTTCTCGAGTTCGCTGGTGGAGGCGACAGACGGGCACTAGGGATGGTCAAAAGGACTGACCTGGGGCCTGTTGGTCGCTGAGACCAGCGACTCCTCAGCTGAGATGTTCTTTTTACCACAACGCCATCTCCTTTATTAAATACATTTGATTTTAACGTTTTGATCAGCGATGACCTCTGTCCGTCCGGCGTTTCTTCATTTTTGAACACAACAACACCCACACAGACAAACACTATATGAAGATATAGTGAGTGGGCAATGCATATTTATTCTAAATAGCGCCTTTCTAGATTCTAGAAAAATATTTCAAAATAAAAGAGAAAAGCAAGACAGTGAACTAAAATTAAGCGGAAAATTATAAATTATAAAAACAATATAAAAAAACAAACTTGGCAAATGCAAGTTGGACCAGGTTACGCAACCACATGAGAGGTTGAATTGTATTTGATTGCATTCCTGCTGCTTGCTTCATTCCCTTCAGCTTCTGTAACTTCAAATTCTAGATTGTTTTGATCCTCTTTCATTTGACTCTCAGTTCATGCTCTTCCTATTTCAGTTTATACAGCAGTTGACGGGTGAATAATTAACTGTGATCTCATTAACCATAAAATGAACGAGGGCCTAGTTTTAAGGCTGTGTCTAATTAAATCTCTGATTGATTAAGGTGGCCATTGCTTCACGCTGTAATTAATTATCGTGGATTCGGGATGGAATCACAAGATGTTTTTGTTCTAATTCTCCCATGCTTCGCCTTTCAAACGTTTATTTATTTGTTATGTACATATTTAAGTTCATGTTCAGAACATATCAAATCTTTCTGAAGATAATTAAATATCACTGGTCAGTTAAAATGTGGTGCAGATATTATTAGATGTAAACAAAAGGCTAATATGGCGGTGACAGTTCACTGCGTTCCAATTATCCTCCAACGACTGGTCGTGACACCCGTCCAAATCTCATTTCCCTGCAGATTTCAGCCAGCAGATTGCTTGTGATGTCTGTGTGTGTGTGCGTCGTTGTGTGTATGTGTGTCTGTGTGCGTGTGAGAGACATTAAAATATGGCTGATAACAGGATACCGCACCAGGAATGCTATGGATCCGGCTGTCTGTTTCGCCCGCCTGCCACTGAGTAACCGCTTGTGCAAGCTGGTTCCAATCGCCTGATCCGCACTAATCTGCACACCTGCTCTATTCCCCATTTACTCGCAGAGTACATATAGCAGCATGCTGCCAATCCAGGCCTCTGTCGGCTAAGTGCCAACGTCATGGAGTCAAAGAAAGGTGGTTAAGAGAATTCAGGAGGTTTTAAGGAAAGGACAATGTGGTGTTTAGGGAAGCCGACCCCGCTCTCACTAAACCACGCAGTTAAGTCACTGTTATTTCCGCGTCACTATTTGAATATTGCCACCGTAAGGCATTGTAGGATGGAATTATCTCCTTTCTATTCGTAACGGATGGTCCAGTGGTTCCTATGCCAAGGCAGCTAAGTAAGGAAGCATTAAAGCTCCTTTCCTTTGCATCCAGATAATTCAAACTGCTCTAATCATGGCGGCTGCTTACACTACTACTGGGTCATTTCACTCCGTTAGGAACCTTCCTGAACAAGTTTGAAAACTCAAACCCCGCCCTAATTTAATTTGGCAAGCGTTCTTGAAATGAGCTTGATTATTGTTTGTTTTTGTTTCTTCACGTTGTTTTATTAAACTGTTACCTCCCTATGAAGCGACTCCGCCTCTGACTGCTGCGCCACTGTTGTGCAATCCTGTTACAACCAAATCAGGCTGTCTATTGAGCAATCCAAGCCATGACGTCAAAGTCTTCAGCCATGGTTTAGTTTGTTTCTTTACCTCCGTCTGCCATTTGGACATTAAACACTATCTAAAGCTCCTTTGGCCTGATCGTTCTACTTGTTTGTGTTGACTGTCCTCCATTTGTGTACGCTGGCATGCCTTTCTTCTGGTGAGGGTAAGAAATCCCGGTTGATTAGAGCAAAGGGAACAAGAGGCAGGTGTTATGATGTTGAATCTCTATCAGCTGATCATCAGACACAAGCTGGTGGCAGAGACACTGTGATGAACTAATTTAACCAAAGTACTTCGAGTCAGGCTCGACGAGCTTTGTGTATTCTTGGCAATGAGATACGAGAGCTGACTGGACAAACTGTCACTGTCTTACTGCACCTATTTCTCACCTGCTGCAGATGGTCTCCATTTGCACAAATATATTAAAACTTTGAAATACTCTTTGCATCGTAGTTCAACATCAAAATGTATTTTTAGGTTCACTTGATTGTCTTTTTAGGGTATAAAAGCATTGACAAAATTGAAGAAGCTCTGCTTGGTTAAAAAAAAACTGAAGATCTTCTTTTGCTGTGTCCTGTGTTGTCTCAGGTGGTGCGTGACCAGATCAGCCACTGCACCATGAAGCTACGTCAGACCACCGGCATGATGGAGTTCTGCCTGGAGGTCCTGAAAGAGAACGATCCCAGTGGATTCCTCCAGGTATCTGATCCACTGTGTGGGAACTGCTGATCATGACATCACACACACGGCATACACAGTCTGGGGTCTTACCAAAAAACATTTCTATGAATTATTTACAACCAAAATTATAAATATAAATGTTAAAAGGAAGAAGGAAGCAAGTAACTTGGTTCCTTTGAGCCTAAGAGGAGAACTCGGCAGCGTCTGATGTTTGTGAAGCCAGCAGATCTGAAATGACTGCACTGTCTGAGGAGGAAGATTGAGAATAGCAACACATTGATACACAAACACACTCACACACACACTTTGCATTTGCTTAATACGGCAGCTGATCTATTTTGAATAGACCTGAGATGTTGAGTTATCATTAGGCTCAGACCCTTATTGACCAAACCATCAATAGTTATTGACTAGTATATTGTTAGGTCAAACTGGGAAACGTATCAAATAAACACTAGCGTTAAATAGAAGAATAATGTCCTACAAAAATGAAAGAAGAAAACAACAAAAAAAAGTAATTTATACATTCATGGTTTTTCAATATCTATTGAACGATATTTAATGAAATTCTAGGGTTCTAATTATGGATTATAGCTCTTCCTGGAAAGAGATACTATGCGAGAAAATGAGGTAGAGAGGAAATAAAGATCAAAGATACTCCTTAGACACACACACACACTCTTGCTTCCATTCTATCTGAATATTTGATCTTCTATTGATTAAGTGGTTCTTTATGGTTGCATGGCTTAAATCCTAACTAGTGCCTTAAAGAATGAAGGGAGGATATCAGTTCAGGAACATTCGTAAAAATAAGACATGTTGAAGTGGGGAAAACAAAGCTAAATGAAGAAATTTGCGCAGTAATGCCCACGAATTCATTTCCAAATACTAGGCTCATGTTTTCAAAAACATCCCTTCACATTTTTTGCAGTTGAGAGAATTCAATCTAATGTATTCACTTTTGTCCCCCCGAGGCAATGAAGCTCTTACCAGCGTATAACGACTCTAATTCTTAGCCTTAAATATTTGAACTGCACTAATGCCTGCCTCATTTCACTTATCAGACACAGTGTAGCAAAGGCAGACTAATGAAACTGCATGCGGAGCAGGGGGCTGTCTCTCCATGCAGAGAGGGGATATCACAGCCCTTCAAGGCGTCCACGTGTTGAATTGAGAGGCTCTCATATCCTGTTGGTGTGTTTTTCACTCTTCTTTCTTCACTGTGCTCATGTGTACTTTAACCCTTGTCTACATGTTTGTGTAGATCTCAGATGCTCTCATCAAGAGGGTCATATCATCTCAGGACCAGTGGGTGAAAGGGGCCCTGGAGCCAAAAGTAGGTCCTGAGTTTGATCTCACCCTCAACACCGACTCGCTGCTCCAAACCATCCTGCAGCTGGACTTCTGCCAGGGCAAAGGTGAAGAGACAAAAGCACACACTAACTAACCAATTGGCAAATTTCCATCATATGTTTATTAATTTCTATTCAATTTTTCAGCTAATGATATTCTCAACTTCTCTGTATTAACACCATTTAAAGAAGTGCTCCATCCATTCAATAGTAAGCTCATAAAGATGGAGGTTTAATAAATAAACTTCATTGGCAGTTACGTTTAAATAAAATCCTTACTCTTAAGGAGCTAAATACCGTTTATATCTCCTTTCATAAGTGAAATATATAACAGTTTTCTTTAAATTGCCAAATGAAAAGCAAGTAAAATGGGATCCATCTTTTTGCATGGAGGAACGTGGGTAAGGGCCCCTTTAAACAGCCTACATCGTTTCGTTAACTTGACTTGCCCAGAAATGCACAAACATGCCAAACCTGAAGCAAAATAAATGCCCCTGGTTATTTTATATTTTCGAAGTTTTTGGCTGTTACTACCCAACAACCAGTGGGCATGCATGAGTAAATACATATTGTCTTTTACTATAATTTCAGAGATTACCCAGATGTATTGTTAACGTACACTGAATATATAATCAGCACTGTGCATGGTTCAGTGTGTTACGGCTCCACTGGGGTCGTAAAGATCACGTGTTTCCCTTCGCAGATCACTAAAATACTAAATAATGCTCATTACACTATATACATTTTTTTTTGCCTTTGTTCAAAATGACAAATGTTACAAAGTAATGACCCAGATTGAGTTGCACTGGAAGGAGACTTTCTTTAATGTGAGTGTCAGTCACGTAGAACTGAGTAGGTTTGAAAGTAGTTGAGAGGCTTCGGTCGTCCTTCCCTTTGTTCTTCAAGTCAGACGACATGAAACCCATCTGTAGGTTTCCTCACTTCTACATCCCATTGATCAGCAGGAACAAAGCCTTTGAGTTTAAACATGGAGCATTTGAAGTCATGTCTTTGAATTTTAGTCTTTGACATCCTGAGCAACCACACAGTGCAGTGGGTGTTCTGGTTCATAAGTAGCCTGAACTGATTGGGTTGCTCTCGGTCTTGTGTCAACCAACAGTCTTTATAGCTGGAACCCCCATCAGGCTTAGGCGGGATTCATCAGCGAAGGAGCAACAACCTTTCAACCAACATATGAAATTTATACTGACCGATCCAACACAATTACATGAAAGGTTTCTCGTAGTTATGAGCTACCGAAATGCACAGAACAGAACAACCACAAGCGCTTCGCTGAAGTAGCATCCAAAAAGTTCAAACTAACAAAGCTCACAACAACCTGTTTCCAAAGGTAACAATCCAACCTATTAACTTGTATTCCATCAAACGGTGCGCGACAACGACCCCCACTACGACACAGCTCGGTGACACAAACACATTCCTCAAGAGAACTAATCAACACAGCGGCTCATGGTAACGATAACGGTCCCTCGCCACCCTCGCCCACGTCTCCATGAGAACCAGATTGCACATCTCAAACAAGCTGCTGACAAGTTACATTATAGATAATGGATGCGGTCCCAATATCTACCAGGTTTGTAGGATCCTGCTAAAACCACCACATTTCTAGACTAATACTGACCTCAGTGCCGTCAGTCAGTTAAATACCTGCTTAAATTGTGTTCATCAATTTTTATTTTAAAAATTAAAAAAAAAAAATCAGCTTTTTCTGACCTAATATTTGGGAGAAACAAATCCTGTTCATTAATATCCAGATGATACACCATTTTACATTTAGGACATTTATGATATCCTCTTTTTTTCTGTTCTTAAACATATTTATTAGTTAGACTGACCTACAAGTTAATGATATACGGTGATAATCATAAAATGAACATGGACCACAAGGCTTTTGTGTCGCTCCTGTTGGTCGTTTTGGGAACCCGGCTCAAACTCTTGTCGTGTTCCTCATGCGTTCAATCTAAACCTCTGCACTGGTCTCACTGTCAGCTGCTTCATGTGCCATCTTGTATCCATGTGCTCCTGCATTTAAACATCCAAACCAACGTCATATTTACAGATGTGCAGGAGAATCCGTTATTGAAACAAATGCAGGTGGCTGACAGTGGTGAGACTGAGCTGGAGACAGAGAGCCCAGGAGGTATTTCAGAGACTCTATTTTCACAGTGAACCTCTGTTTTCCTTCCTTGAATTTATTTCCTCGTCCCTCAGCACTGCTTATGAAGATCACCGGTCCCTTTGTCCCACCGTCTCAATCTGGTCTCTGCATGGTTACTGTCTCCTTGCTCCTCTCCAATGAATGGCACCTCTGCAGAATAGCGCTGAAAGTCACAGAAATGTGTAGCCTGAAGTACTTCTGTTTTTTCATGCAAATCTTTTGTGACTAATCCTTTGACTTTTTAACATTTTTACCTCTTTTCATCTTTTTTCATCTCTTACCATCTTTCACTTTAAGCATAGGAACTGAAAGTTTAAAAAACATGATCTCCAACTGTCATATTCCAAATTATTGAACTGTTATTTATGTAACCAATCAAGAAAATCCTAAATCTTAAAAGGAAATAGTCAAAATATGAGTACAAAAGATACAATGTAATCTATTTAACAATATAAAATCATCATACTGTTGATGTGCATGAATCAAAGAACTACATTGGCTACAAATGCTGTGAAAAATATGAACTCTACTCATTGGTATTGATAAACTGAATTGACTAAAGTGTAATGTACATCTCATCGACCCTGCTATTTTATTCCTTGTCTCATAACTGCTGTCTTTCCTCTGTGTGTTCACTACTCCTTGTTTTGGTCTTGAAAGATCAGATAATAGATGATGAATGTAGCAGAATTCACCCCCCCCATCTGCACTCAGTGTTCAGTGGTTACTTCTACCCTCATGTTGTTGTTTTTGTGTTTGCTTAAGCTCCTTTTGGTATGCAGCCATGTCCTATTTGTTAGCACACATTTTATTACAACGTGGGTTTGACACATATAATTGCTTATTAGAAAATTCTTTGATATGATGCTGGTCCCTTAATTTTTTTTACCTCTTTAAACGTCCAGGATTCTTGCCCTGATTTGAGAAAAAAACTGTATTGGTCTTGTCAATGGGCAGTTCATTTCTCAGGACGTTCTAGATGTAATATGAGGGGTCGTCCAGAATACCTACTACATGTATTTAGGGGAGACTTTTTATCAAGAAAGAAACAAATTAGTTTCAAATAATGGCTGATAGAAGTTTCAGTCAAAAAATATCTACTAATCTTTAAAGCTTGTATTGGTCTTGCCTTATTATCCCACTACTCCCCCCCCCCCCCATTATAATTGGTAAGTCTTATGCATCTTTCTCTCCCCACAGTGGAGTCTGGACCCTCGGTGCCGCCGGCTCCTCTCTTGCAGCTGGAGACGTGCTGCGCAAGGAACAACAGCGCCACCCTGGCCTGGAGGGCGACCGTGGCCCCCGTCAGTCCCATTGAGGGCTACATCCTGGAGCTCGACGACGGCAACGGAGGACAGTACAGGGTCTGTGAAACACACACTGAGTTTGGCTTTGTAATGTGCATAAAACACAGAATAAGACACTAATATGACATGGTGCAGTAAATTGTGACACTTCTGTGGCTTGTCTTCCTTTTTTCATTATAAATGATCCATATGCTGCTCAACTCTGACTAAATCCAGCTGGTAGTTTGTTTATGTGTGGCAGTGAACATGCATTTCAAGTGTGTGAGCCCAAACCAATACTTGTGTCAATTTATACACATTGTATGATTACGCAGAGAATAAACATGTGCATGCACTTATCATGCATTTAATGTTACTAAAATGTGCCCGCAGGAGGTGTATGTGGGGAAGGAGACCGTGTGCACTGTGGATGGCCTTCATTTTAACAGCTCCTACAATGCCAGAGTGAAAGCGTACAATGCGGTCGGTGTGGGGCCGTACAGCAAGACAGTGGTGCTCAAGACCTCTGATGGTAGGAATTATGTGTGTGTGTGTGGGGGGGGGGGGGGGGGGGGGAAAGAAAGAAAGATAAAGGAAAATAGGTAATACAGTGAAAGTAAAAATGGGCAATAAAGGGGAAGGAGAGGGGAAAACAGCAGAAAAAATAAGAAAAAAGGAAATCAGACACCGAGTCGGACAAGTAAGAAAAGAGGGCAGTGAACAATAAAGAAATAAATAGAAACGGAAAGGTCAGTGAATAGAAAGGAATAAAGGAAGGGGGGGGGGGGGGGGGGGGGTGGAGGAAAGTGGGGCAAAGAACGGGAAAGAAAGAAAGGAAGGAAGGAAGAGAAAAAAGGGGAAAACAGGAGCAATGACACAATCTTCCAGTGAGATGGAGGAGAGAGTCACACTTAGACACTCTATCTCACTACGCCAATTTCAGCAACAATGGGCTTTGGCCTGTGTCTCTGACTGATAAACGTTCATCCCTCCCGCCCTCTTCTTTTTCTGTTCTGTTTTTTTCTCTCTCTGCTTACCCGCCTTCTTCTTCCTCCTCCTCCTCCTCCTCCTCCTCCTGGTTGCTCACCCCCCCTCACCCCGCCACCTCCTGGAAGACTGTGGATTCATGGGAATACACGTACAAAAGAGGCATTTAGAGTAAATCAGCAGGGTGAACAAACTGATTTTTGTGAACCATTTTAGTAATATGAGTTATACATCTCTTTCTGTGTGTTTGATGTGTCACGACTTCCACTTTGCCAGCTGATGAAGTATTTGTGCCTTCAGGCGGCGATAGTTAATGCATCCCCAATGTTTCTGTTCCTTTTTTTGTGCCTGGAGTGTGTGTGTGCGTGTGTGCGTGTGTGCGTGTGTGTGTGTGTGGGGGGGGTGTGTGTGTGGGTGTGTGTGGGTGTGCGTGGGCGTGCGTGCAAGCTTTTTCCCCCTTCAGCTGAGAACTCATCCACGCACTTTGGTCCACTGGTATGTAATGCCACTCGTGGATTTCCAACTCTGTTCAGAAGGAACCAGCAAATAATACGTGTTCTTAATTTACAGGTCCATGGTCCTCTATGTTCAGTATAGAGGCTATACTGTATGGCTGTATGGCTTTAATACTGGATAATAACTTGCTTTATTATTAATAATATATTATTATATTATAAAAACAGCAAAATAAGTGTTTAAATATTCTAATATAACATTTTCTGTTATCTTGACACAATTGCTTAGAACAAATTAATCATGACAGGGAGGTATTTTAATTATAAAAGAGCAGATTTTGTCACTGTGGCACGGGATTGTGTCCAATTAATGAGCATCATCAACAAGATGCACAGCTGATATTATGATATTGCTGCTGTGAGTCCAGTTTGTGAAGGTTGAGCCAGTAAGAGATTGCGGACTGTAGTTTTGTGACTGACTGCATGTGTCTGAATGGTGGCGCACACTCAAAAAGTCTAATTCTACCCAACAGTGGCCTGGTTCTCCTTTGACCCCAGCACAGCTCATCGCGACATAGTTCTAACCAATGAAAACCAGACGGTCAGCTGCAGCAGCTACGATGACCGCGTGGTGCTGGGAACCGCCGCTTTCTCCAAAGTAAACTTCCCCGTGTTGTGTTTTATTGACTTTTGATTGTCCACGGCACATTTAATCCAATCATTGTACTTCCACTTGGATCTCAGGGCATTCACTATTGGGAGGTCCGCATCGATCGCTACGACAACCACCCCGACCCTGCGTTCGGCGTGGCCAGGATCAACACCATGAAAGACATGATGCTGGGAAAAGATGACAAGGCGTGGGCCATGTATGTGGACAACAACCGCTCCTGGTTCATGCACAACAACTCCCACACCAACAGGTAGGTGTATGCTACACTGGAAGTGCTGTAAGGCCATTGGTGTGATGTCAGATGTCAGTTATGGCTCGTTACATAAATACAAAGACTCTTTCTAGCTTTCCAGCTCAACGTATTGAAAGCGAAACAAAGCCACCCCACAGCCATCATTGCGAGCGTACTCGCTTTACGCATGATACTTTGGTACTGCAGCACATAATCAATCAAATCAAATTCACCACATCCCAAACGCACAACCAAAAGGGAAACAACACTATTCTCTGACCTCTGCCCACAGACTTTTCTATTTGAAGCCCTCCAGTGCTACAGTTCCCTGCCTGCCATATTGTATTACCTTTATATTGTGGTTTTATGTAAAAAATGTTGCATTGAGTCAGTCATGTGTCTAATAGGATATTAATGTCTATGTTTTAAACAATGCTGAACATTCCACCTCAGTAGTGGGGTCATTAATAAACGTGTGATCGACTGATTGAAACCGAACTAAACATGTTTGTAACTTTCATTTCATGGAAAATGTATGAACACTAGTTGAGTTTTGCTTTCCACTGCCTGACAACTCAAAAGTTATATTAACTGATTTATTATTACAATTATTCAATAACAGATGAATTAGCCAGTTAGTTTTTTAAACTTTCTCAATGAGAACAGCAGGAACCGAACACTTTGTTCCATCATTATGAGTTCTGCATTAAATTACACACAACAAAGCACTAAACACACACACATAATGATGCATACCCAGGATGACACCGGGACCCTTGAGGCTTAAACAATAGCAACTAAACAGCAAGGAGCCGTGGAAGAAGAAGCCTGCAGGAGACTTCAGAACATTTCTACGTTTAAACCCTCATTAAACATTTATTTACATCAAAAGATGTCTATGCTTCACAAGAAAAAATGTTACTCTCGACACTATGCAAGAATTCAAAACCCGACTTGCTAAATCTCTCTCCATCTCGGTCCATCCAGACAATGGGTTTATTCGTGTCCCTCAGAATGCAGACTCTCTCGTCATCACATGTTCACCTGCATGCTTACGTGTACACAGGTGGTTTCACACCTCTGCTTCTGTGCAAAAACCACATTTCAATCCCACTCTTTCTCTCTTTAAGGATAGAGAAACATTAGTAGTTTGCATTCTATCATGAGCTTGTTAAAAAAACGGAGCTCAAGACCTTGTGGACACAAAATGATAAAATGCTGAATATGAGGTTTAATTGCTCAATTTTTCTTTCAAGCAGATGACACTTTATTTGCATTATTATATAGAGCAAAGTTTTGTGCACGCTTTGAACTTTCCTTCCTTACAAGCTGTCGGTAAATAATGACTAACGAGAGGAGAGAAGCCTTCCCTGGATATTCCCTTAAAGTCAGTCAGAAGACATTGGGCTCTTTTCAATGTTTTCCAGACCTGTTTTTATCACTTCCTGTCACACAAACATTTAGCTGTTTTATCTGATGGTGTGTGTGTGTGTGTTCGTGTAGGGCGGAGGGAGGAATCGCCAAGGGCTCGACTATTGGCGTCCTGCTGGATCTGACTAAACGCACACTGACTTTCTACATCAACAAGAAGCAGCATGGACCGACATCATTCGACAACCTGGACGGGGTCTTTGTACCGGCCGTCAGCCTCAACCGAAACGTACAGGTCCGTGTGTGTGTTTGAGTGGTAAAGTGACACTTTCCTTTTCTGGGGGACAAAAGGGGGACAGTTGTCTGATGGCCGATTACTATTAGTCTCCTGGAACTTAATGTAAGTCAATGTAATGTCCCCAAAAGCCCCGAAAACAGGATTGTGTGTCCTTGATAGCTGTTACGTATAGACACAGAGTGTGTGCGGCCTCTAACAGAGCGTGCATGAATGAGCAAAACTTATATATTCAACTAGGACAGCACTTTCTATTGACACCAGAGCTGCCACAACCTGTCGCAGCATTGTCAAAGTGCACTGAATCAAGCTTCACATTCTCTTTAATGTTTTGTAACTGACTCATGTTACACAGGTTGCAAACTCATTTACGTTAACAATACAAAACCAGTAAATAGTGAGGAATAACCTCTTCCAGGACAGACATGCAATAGTTGCATGTAAATTATTCAGACATAGCAATTTTTGATTATACAATACAGACATCATTACGAAATTTAAATAAAGTGTACAGTCTGCATTTTTTTTGCCAGCAGAGTCAAAGCGTATGGAGAAGGGAATCTGTAAATGGAAGACGTGAACAATACTCAAACTCCAACAAATATGATCCCCCACGCAGAGTCTCAGTCTCAATTACAGATGATCTGCTCTGCTCTTCCTTCCAGGCGACCTTACTGACGGGCCTGGAGTTGCCAAAGACGACCCAACCGTAGGGCATCTTCCATCTGAGCGTGCCCGGGGTATAAACCAACCATGTCATATGCGTCTCGCTCCGACCGGGACCTATTCCAGTCACGTCAGATGGTATTTACCCGTTTTCCATCCTTCCCAAGGTGCCCTTCAATGTGAGATCCTGCTCCAGAACTGGATGAAGGAATGAAATCTGGGTTGTTGTTGTTGTCGGCTCTTAATACACTGATTTGAAGCTTGAGGACATCACTACAAGGATGACTGGATTGCCATACTTTTTTCTTCTTCTTATATCCCAGTTTTTGCCCCAATAAGTTACATCATCTGTTATTGCACCAAAAAATGAAGAAGAAGGAAAATTCTCTGTTGTGCATCCAAGTGCTGCTGTCAAAGAGATCTACACGCTGAGATCTAAAGCCGGGGAGGATTGAGCTCCATTCCATTTCCTTTTTTCAGGAATGTGACGGATCTGCAAAGCACCGGAGTGGCCACTCTGCAGGGGGAGTATTTCATTTTGCAACCTTAAAGTGGTAGAATCATTTTGGTGCAATTCAGCTGTGTAATTAGTTGTGTCATTTTCAAGTGACTCGTCATTGTCTTTCTAAGAAGGAAGGGATTTAGTTAGATAGAATGTTATTTGCCGCTCACAGTGATTATCTGCCTCAAATGGTAGAATAAAAGAGAGACTCACCAGATACCAGATCTCATGCATCATTTTGCCACCTTAAGACATAGTTTGATATTTTTGGAAGTACACTTATTTTATGATTTGTAAGGTTTAAAAATGAGATAGAACATGATAAACCGGTATATAAACCGGTAGTTTTAGTAAAAGCACTACACTCTTTATGCTTAAGTTACTGCAATTGTCTGCTGGATGTGGTTTCATTTATACTAGAGACGTGACGATGGTGGTGTTATGCTCATTCAATAAGTGTATACCTCAAAATGTTAAAAAATCACAGACAACGATACTGACAGGCATTTTCACTTTGCGATCTCTACTGAAATTTAAAATAAAATTCTTTGAATTAAATCAGATTGAACAGCTTAAGCTTTTAAGGACTAAACCACCATGTGTGCGAACGAGGCAGATTAATTACATGATGTTTTTCTGCTGCCTCTCCCGGGTTCTGCAGTCACCCTGACTCATGAGGACATGATTTCACCTCAAGGGATAAAGTCACAAAATGCCGGCCAGCTACTGTTCTATATCAGAGGTAGATGAGGAAAGTGTGCTTGTCTCATGGTCATTTTAATTCTGTGCTCATCTATCAGTCTCTCTGTAGAATCTCTGCAGCAAAATTCAACCTAACCACTGTGACTCCGGATATAACATGCATACATTTTAACATACATTTCCCATGTATATTCCTCAACCAAAGCAGCATAGGACAGAAGCTCATTTAAGTAATCCTTATTATAATATCTGAAATATTTCTATTCCCTGTGATGTTGTGTGAGAGCGTTACTAGAAATACCTGCCATTCAAAGATCGGACTGATGTGTGAATGCAGAACAACAAACCAATGTAAATACGTGAACTATAATGTGAGATATTGAGCATGGATTAAGCGTCAAAGAAGTTTACAAAAATATCTGAAGCTGTACTGTAAATAGTGTGCCGTGTCTTTGCAGTGAGTGATGTTGAAGCCAACTGCTACCACAGCTCGCCCTCTGCTGTAGGCTGCTGGGGACCACATGATTCCTCACCATGTACTGCTATTTCTTAACACCCGACTGTGAATTTGTACCTTTTATCGCTGACTTTTTAAACGCTGCCAGCGATCGTTTTCTCGGACGAGGTGTCAGAATTGCTGCGCTCTCCACACCGCGTATTGTCAACTGTCAGACGTCGAGTTGGAGTTACTAACATTTGTAGGTTTACAGTATTATGATTGCAGCAGGAAGCAATTACGTATTGCATAATACACCCAAATTATTTTAGATTATCAGTTCAACATACATTTTAAATATGTCTGGTGACGGAACAGTAGATACTATAAATTAAAGAAGGCCTTACTTGAATTAATTTGTCCTAATCTCAGAAACATGACAGAATGTGTTGGCCTGTGTCTTTTCTTTAGAGAATGTATTTAACTGTGGAGCATTAGAGTAGTGTTACAAGATTAAATATTTCAATTTCGGTTTGTTTAAATGTGTTAAAATAATATTTAAGACATACTATTGATTGAGCCTTCTTTAGAGGATATTATGCATTAATCCATGAATCAAACCTGCACCTGATGCTGCATTCAAATGATGTGGAAAAGATTGTTTTACATCTATATTTCTATAACGGTGGAGTGTCGTATTGATGGACCCAGATAATTCTTTCATCTCAAAGCATTTCATAACTTTTAGTTCATATTTTTGGTATTCTTTAACTTTAAGTTCACTCACTCTCTACATACAGCATTGCTTTTGGCTGCAGCAGCCAAAAGAACAGACTTGGTAAACTGCCCTGGCAACCTTGTTTCTGATGCACCCAAGCAGCAAAAAATAGTAATTGCAGGTTTAATTAAGCATTTCATTGGCAACAATAAATCAGACAAAAATAGTTTTATATCAATTTCAATTTAATTTCATGTATATTAAAAGTAGGTCTACGTTTATCATCTTTACCACGTGGCGTGAATGCACCATCAGCGTCAGAACCAGGACTCAAATCGGTTCCTCTGGACCCAGGAAGCAAACATCTATCATCCCAAAGGAGAGTTCATCCTCACCTTGCCCCGGGCTGCCCGCCGTGCCCCTTCGGCCTATAATGGCATCATGCGAGGTTGCTCTACTCGGACCGCCCTCCCGCCTCCCGCCTCCCCCACCACTAGAGCGCCCTGCCTATGATTTTGATGTACCCGGGAATGGATCATAGGCCCACAGGCAGAGCGAGGGTTTGGGTCACATGAGCGTGTGTTGATATTGAAAAGTTGCAGAGGAAATTATGACTGGAGACGGACAGACGCTACAATGTGTTGGTTGGGGGCTCAAAAAGCCAAACAGTCCAGTGAAATGGAAGTTTAACGCCTTTTCCTTTCTGCGTACAGTTGTCTCTTAAATTACTATCAAAATACGTTTTGTTGCAAAAATCCACATATTTTCAAAGTTACATTGTAGTCACTCCTGATTCGATATGATATTGTCAGAGTGCTTGTATGGCATGTCCCTTTACCCCTACACCTACCCAGCCACCCATGGATGTGAGATTTAACTTCAAGCTATGGTGCAGGGGAAAAGAACATGTCACTGCTGTAAGCTGTTTAAGTTTAAAGAATTGCATATTTATTTACTCTATAAAGTGTGTAAATATATTGAATTGCATATTTATTTTCTTTTGTATACTGCCCTCTTCAATTTGGTCACTATACAAGTTGAAGGGCTGCTGGTCATATATATTGTCTATGGTTTTTTTGCCTTCGGGTCGAAGGTTTGAAATAATAAAAACAAACAAACAAACAAATAAAAACGGTAAAATAGAGATGATACAGATTTACTTACAGCTTGAAACAATTTGCTGCAAATAAGCTTCATATTTCTTTGTGCAGTTTCATCTTTAAAATGTATAAATAACAGATAAGCTGCTTGAAAAAAAAAATAAAACGGTGTGAGATTTTGTGACCTCACCCAGCCGCACACTGCCAGATCCTCTTGTTTCGCCATGTCACTCAAAGGGGGTTTATGAAAACATCTGCCCGGACTTTACCTCTGTATGCTTTTGATTTTTTTAGAATCTGTACCCACTCCTTCCTACCAGTGTAAATGTTTTGTACGACTACATGGTTTGTATACGAGAAATCCATTGTGACTGCATCATTTGAAAACCTTTACAGTGTAAACAAAAAAAAAAGAAACGCAAATGTATTCTTTGTTTTTTTGGGTACTTTATAAAAAAATTTAAATAAACTGTGACTAAATATGAGTTGAACATAGCCTCCGGTTTCGTGCATCTACGTCCTCCCCACTGTGGTCAGGGTCTGTTTTGAGGGTCGGTAAATTGGATTCCTGTCCATCTCCAGTAACACCGTCTCATATTTTACTGCAGACCGGTCCTCTGGAAATCCGCCTCACTGCTCACGTAGTATCCGACTCCTCCTCATCGCACTGCCCCCCGTCCTGCGGTAAGATGAGTCACAGGGTGTTCGGAGGACAGTCCTTCCTTTGATTTGACTGGATGTTTGTCCATCCTGGGAGGGTTTATTTGCCTCACCTGAAAAAAACGCGCACACACACACACACACACACACACACACACACACACACACACACACACACACACACACACACACACACACACACACACACACACACACACACTTTAGCAAAGAAAACACACAAGACTAGTAGGAGTCTAAACTTTGGGACACGATCTCTTAGCTCGAAGCACATAAACACAGTCACCTATTTGCGTCTCTTGTTGCCTTTGATTTTCTGGATGTCGTTGGTGTTGAGGATCAGCATGCCGTTCTTAAAACGTCCCACCTGACCTGTGGGTGCTGAGCCAGAACCAGAGGACACGTTCTTCTTGGTCCTGGGGGAGATGGCAGCCCAGTCACACACACCGCTTACAACCGCTCCAATGCGACAAAGACTGCCTATAAAGCTCGGCCCATTTTGGTATGCTAAGTCATAAACAAAATCTAGTGCTTTGTTTGCTAAGGTTATTACAGCATGTACAATATGTTAAAGGACACTTGAAATGTTAGCAGATGTCAGTTTAAGCATGTCTCTACCTAATTAAATGTTGGTTTCAATAATCTTAACTAAGATAATGTAATGTGATCTCTACGTATTAAACAGTAAATAGTGGCATTAAGAGGAGCCGCCTCACCCACCTTGAATTACTCGGCTTCTTCTTTTTCTTCAGGTCCTATGAAGCAACAACACAGGGTACAATAAGAACAACTAGAGCATTTTTTGTAAATGATGTAATGTAAATCTATTTACACTTTAAATGAATAAAATCCATCTGCTTATAATGCACTAAAGCAGGAGCGGTTCGAATTGAACTTAAGACTGATTGAAGAAGCAGCTCTTACCAGCTGAACCTCCTCCTTTGCTTTCTGCTTCTTGTCTCTGATCTGCTGCTGCAGCATCTTGTAGTTGACGTAGTCCTTTTTGGGAGGCTGATCAGGACACAATTATTAACTTGTGAATTGCTCATTACGAATGAGGGTAGGATGGTAATTAAACCGGTTACAGGACTTAAGAAAAGCGGTTCTCCTTACTCTGGCTCCCAGCATGATGGCTCTGTCCTGCTCAAAAACACGCTGCTGCTCCTTTTTATAGCCGGTGATTCCAAACCGATGGACATCGAGACGAGCCTGTGAACCAAGAAATATAGAAGCATCGTCACAGCGATAAGGTGACCCAAGTAAAGACGTCTACGGGGCAGCTACTCCATGAAGCCAGGAGAAGAATCAATCTTGCAAGAACCCACATACTATATTTATAGAAGGGTTACTGTCACCTTTTCCAAGTTGAGCTTTTCTGGCTGGTTGCTTTCCTTCTTGTTCGTCGTATTCTGGAGGGCATTGAAGTGAAGAGGGAATGGATGGAGACAAGAACATGAACAGAGAAGGTTCACTAAAGGTCACAGAGCAGCACGGAGGGGAGGTTTGGTTTCAAAATGCCAGGCCGCTTTTGCACATGTTGACTATTTAATGCTTAATTCCTTAAATAAAAAAGATAATACCAGAGCTTAATGGCTCTTAAATTCTATTATGAATGCACATTTTTCAATATGCCACATCTTTAGCATTGTACAGTCATTTGCACCTACATATGTTTTGTAAAAAGAAAGTACACAGTGCTAACGTAGTAGAGTCTTACGGGCACTTTGGTGGGCACTTTGGGGGGCTCTGCGGTCGGCTTGGTTTTCCGTTTCTTTCTGGCGTCCTGATACGTTACAACCTCCACCTGGCTCGCTCGCTGGATGGGTGGACCTGAGGGACGCGTGGCACATTAAACCGACGAGAAAAGGACGTGTGGGGGAAATGAATGGTGGAAGATGAGGAAGCCACAGGAGGGGAGAGTTTGAAAACAGCATATGTGCAGACGCTGAGTTAATCATTACAGACGGGGTTAAGTGCTAAGAGCGGCAAGACACATGATCTGAATACCTCCGGCTTGATTATTGGAAACGGAATGAGTGAATGGAAGATATATAGCTATCCCACATTGCCCACCTGTTTGCTGCTGGTCTTCATTTCCAACACAAACTTCTTGGTTGTCTTCAGGATCACTGCAGTGACCTTTGACCCCAGGGAACTCCTCCTCTTCTTCACAGCCTTTTCTTTTTTTCTTCTTTTGAGACTTCTTTTTTGATCCATCATCTGTGTCATCAGACAACAACATGAGCACGAAAGGAAGATCTTTTTGAACTTGTATTGGTAAACACTATAAACCTGCATGTTGTTGCGAACATTGTATCCTTAATGCACATGACAATGGCTGAATATGATATCATCTTAATTACGCATTAATACAATCTAGGCAATAGAATAGGACAACTCTGCCGTCAATTCTACGATTACTAAGTTCACAGTGTTATAATATTGATAACCTCTTATATGTTTGATAAAAACTAAAGTCTTTGATTGGATGTGTTTGTGTGATGATCCTGCAGGGGACGAACGGGGTCTCTAGCAGCAACCTTTGTCCAATATTGTTGGCAGTTAGTTAGTTAAATAACAAATACCTTCTTCTTCGTAACAGTTAACGGCATATATAATGTACCTTAAACCAGCTACAACGGACTGACCAGCATGTCGAGGAATGCTAGTGAACCTAGCGCAGCTAGCCAACAGCACTTACCAAACTCGTATAGTTTATCCAAAACGTGCTCAAGAAAGAGACAATCTCCGTCTTCCTTTCTGTCCATTTCAACGGAGCGGAAGAGAAAGGACGAGAGCAAAAATAGCGATTAATTTCCGGGACTCAAGAAAAACGTTTGACAACATCCAGCGTAAACACGTGTGACGATTGATCCCTTTCGGCTACAGTAGTTGCGGAAGCGCTTCGGAAATGCCAGTTACACGCCCATGAGAAGTTTTCCTGTTCGCATATAACGAGCCATTATTCACACAACGAGAGGCGAGCAGCGCACAAACACCCGCGGACTCATTCATTCACAGGGTGCAGCGTGTAGGAGTGTGTGTATCGAGATAAAGAATGGCATCCAGCAATGCTTATGCGGTACGTATTCTTCGCTTTGCTTGTCAATGGCTAAGCTAACTTGGCTAGCTCTGTCACTCTCACACAGATTCAACACGATGTTATAATGTTACTTATAAAACACACAGCATCAAAACAAACAGATTTTTTTTTAATTTGTTTTTTGATTGCTTTGCGTCACCGTAAATAAATCTCCACTTGACTTAAATCCATGCAGTCTTTTAGGAGAACCAGAGATTCGACCTTTACTTGTCATCATGATTCAATGCTGCTCTGTACGTGTGATTGATCACTTGTTGGTTGTAGTTTAGTTACTTTATACTGTCATACATTTTCGGAGGGAAATAATGCACTTTTTATCTTCTTTTAACTACATTTAAAACATTGGGGTGCAAAATGTAACACGTATTGTGTTTACAGTTAGCCTACAACAACAACATTATAATACTTTAAAATGTGTAACTTTAAAAAGCAGCATTTCGACATTGTGGTATTGTTACTTTTTCAAGGTGAGGCGTATGTTTTTAGCATTATACCACAGAAAAGGTGACACATTTTGAAAGTGCTGGTCTGAAACTGGTGCCCACTGGTGTCAGTATTTGATCACCTCATGGGATTTTGTGGTATTGCGACATCAGACAGGTGAAATCCAGGACTTCAAACAATCTTATCTCAATATAAACGCAGAACACTGCTTGGCACTGTGAATTTGTTAACAATGTGTTCAAATATTTTATGTTTTCAGTGATTCACAACTAACAAATAAGGGCATATGCCATGATTCCTGTTTTTAATAGCAGAGAGACCCGATGCTAAAGAAGAGAGATGACTTTGAGGACATTCTAGAGGAGAGGAGGAACTCCAGCGACCTGAGATACGCCCTCAAGTGTTACACCCCGGCTCTGTACAAAGGTGTGGCACCTTGTAAATCGAGCATGCTGAAGAGCATGGTGCTTCAGTCTGACCAGCTCCACTATGTCATCCAGCAGGTGAGATCCAGATGGCCTGACAGTAAGTTGATGTTCTGGTTGTGCCTGATGGACGTGCTCTCCAGATTACACTCACAAGTTGGCTGGTTAGATAAGAGAACCGCCTCTTTTCTTTAGTCCCTAATCTGTGTACCTTTTCATGATCAAGTGACTTGAACACTTCATTGTGAGAATTTCTGAGAATAATGGCTATACGTTATATCAACTATACGTTTATGAAAAAGTAACATATATGTATTTCTATTTTTCATTTGATTCATTAAGTGGTACTTACTGAGCGCACTGTTTTGAATGGTCAAGGTGTCTAAAGAGACGGGCAGGCAGACTGATAACGTCCAGGAGGAGGTGTCGGCCATCTTGGATGAGATGGCTCACTCTCTGCAGCTCAGCACCGTTCGTTTCTTTGCCTTCACCCTCAGCAAGATCTTCAAGTCCTTGTTCAAGAGCATCCGTGTAAACGAAGAGGGCATCCAGAGGGTGAGAATACAAATACGACACTGGACACTAAGCGCACAGTGTGAGTCGACACAGACACAGAGCGGACACCGTCAGGCGAAGAGAAGCAGTGAACCCAACTAAGCTAAAATAACAACAACCATCCGCCCAGTCTTTCAACCTGAACTACTCCGTCGGTTCATCCGGACTGCTCGTTCTCCTCTTTGGGCGGGAAGAACGCCGCCCTGAGTTCCTCCCGGGCCGGCCGGTTGTTAGCGTGACCGAGCCGCCCCGTCTCTTCCTGCAGTCGCGGAGCGCGTCGGCAGCCGGCGGTCAAAGCCCTGCATTAAATCTCCCCATCTGCCGCGGCGCGCTGGACACATTTACTCGAACCCGACCGCATCGCAACAAGCCCGATGCCGAAAGCCCGACAAATAAGACGTTTTTTGAAATAGCATACTTTTATTACTATGCTATTATATAGTCTTTATGTTATCGGTGGCATAAAATGGTCTGAAAATTGCAATAATATTGCATATCGCAATAAATGTTGGTGCAACGATCGCACAACAGAAAATTTGATATCGTGACAGCCCTACTATGAGTCTCTCATTAACTTCTCCCTGAACTCTGTGTCCTCTCTCGTTAACTTAGTGACCTACATTCTGGACCACACGGATTCACCAAGGCACAGTGTTTTATTCTATCTGTCTTTCAAACAATGATTGTCTATGGCCACACTAAGAAGGGCGGGTGGGGTGTATTCCTCCACAACCGGCTGAAGTTCTTTCCGATTAGACAACACAAACCTCTCCAATATGTATTAAAGTTTCTCTTTACACCAGAAGTTTGGTCCGACTTTCTTAAGCCTAGTTTATGCTTCTGCGTTTTCAGAGCGACGGCTTGTAGAAGCGGGTTGGATTCATCGCCGCAAACGCCGGTTTGCCGGTCGAGAGGTGCACAAAGTTGTGGAGGAAAATACGGGACAAATGTGTCCGCGATGAAAAGCAACAGTGGCGATGCACGGGGCAATAAAGTCTATGATAAATAAATAAACAAATAAATAAATAGACGTGACTCTGTAGGTCGTCTTCAACAAAAACACGTTACTCCGCCTGTTCTGGAGGTGAATTGCTCTGCAACACGCAGAAGACTTTAAGAAGCATGTATTGAAATGAGTGCGTTGACGCAACGACGCAGACGCAGAAGCAGACGCAGAAGCATGCGCCAGCCTTTACTCTCCACAGAAGAATGAAACTCCTCGTTCAGCTGAATCGAGTCATTGGACTTCAGTCTGTACTTATAATTTGTTTTGATGACTTCTGTATTCTTTATAATTTTTCTATATTCTAGTTAGTAATAAATACTTAATCACACAAACAGTTTAAGATACTTGATTTCTCACAAAGGCTTTATCCACTACAGAAACCTCATGTGTTCTTTGCTTTGTCCTTAGCTCCAGCAGGCCATTCAGGACCACCCGGTAGTCCTGTTACCGAGTCACCGTAGCTACATGGACTTCCTGCTGATGTCGTACCTCCTGTACACCTACGACCTGACTCTGCCGGTCATTGCTGCCGGCATGGGTACGCATGGAAAAGAGCAAGATACAAGCACATAATGTACAGAATTTGTTGGGAGTGTTTGAAGAAATGGTCTGTCTGTACGTACTAAAGACGGTATAAAGGGAAGCACATTTGGTATTACAAGTACATCCAACGTTTTATTATTATTATTATTAATCAAATTATGGGCACAATAACAGGAACACTCCTTAATGTAATGCAGTCCAACACCACGGTGATTTGTTTATACACCAACTGTTGTTTGTGCCTGCAGACTTCATGGGGATGAAATTTGTTGGGGAGATGTTCCGGATGTCTGGAGCTTTCTTCATTCGAAGGTCATTTGGAGGAAACAAGCTGTACTGGGCTGTCTTCTCCGAGTATGTCAAGACAATGCTCAAGGTGTGAAGAACTTCCTTTCATCTTAAACCTTTTAGGTGATACTATTGTTGAATACTGGCATTTTTTGCGGCCATTTGCATGGTGCTAGAAAGCCTTCTCCTTCAATTAGTTCACAATGACCGCAACATTTAGACATTTATTTTTTTATTTTTTAGAATGGATTTGCACCAGTTGAATTTTTCCTAGAGGGGACCAGAAGCCGAACGTCCAAGTCTTTGATTCCAAAGTTGGGTAAGGTACAAGCAATAGAATCTTTAAACTCTGAGCTTTACTTGGCCAAAATAAAACTCAAAAAATCTAAATGTCACCTGTCAAACATCTGCAGTGGGATGTTTGATGAGATCTTGGTTGTATTTTTCCTGCCAGCAAATTGTTATGTTAAAAAATAATGACAAAAAGTGTCAATGAGAGCATCATTATTCAATAAAAAATTAAGGAATATTACACATACGTAAGATAACATGGTTCTGAAAATAGTTCCATTTTCTGTTTTTGATGACGAATTGTTTTATGCGTACTCTTTTTCTTTTTTTCTGTCACCCTCACCCTTCTGTCTTCCCCCAGGCCTGTTGAATATTGTCATGGATCCGTTCCTTAAAGGCGAGGTGTTTGATGTGCACGTGGTCCCAGTCAGCATCAGCTATGAGAGGATCTTAGAGGAGACGCTTTATGCTAGAGAGCTGTTGGGAATCCCCAAACCCAAAGAGTCTACTTCAGTGAGTCCCTCAAAAACCTTTTACGTTAAAGTTGTCTTTTAAAGAAGACTTTTGGTTTTGTTAAAATAAGCCCCCTCATGTCTTCTCCTTAAATATTTGACTTAAGACCAATTAGTTAACGGAAATAGGAAAAAAACTATTGTCAACAATCAGTACAGTAACCAAAGTTCTACTTTTTTATTTATTTAATTCCTCCAGAAGTATAAACCTTTTTACTCTTTTTTTTGCATCTTCCAGGCCAATATTGTTAGACAATAACAGGCCTCAGAATGCAAACAAACAAATAAAACTGCCTCAACGGAAACAGGGAAAAGGCTTAAAACGGCAGTGACATGTAGTTTCCGCGACTAAGGAATTATTTAAACAGGACTCTGTGAAACACCCTCAATTAAGTATCTCAGATATTACAGGTCAGATAAGCCTGAAACAACTTGTGTTGTTAGGGCCAACTGTCCCTTGACTTTATTATGAGTTGAAAATGGAAACACAATTGCAATTCAATGTTATGCAAAAGCTGTATGTTATATTTTGCAGCCTGTACGCATGTGCTGAGGTGTGTCTTTTCCTTTTGTAGGGTCTGTTCAAAGCCAGAAAGGTCCTCAGCGAAGACTACGGCAGTATCCACGTGTACTTTGGTCAACCTGTGTCTGTTAGGAGTTTAGCCGAGGGGAGAGTTAACCGCTGCCAGTTCAACCTAGTACCAAGGTATGATTTTGCAACACTAAGAATGTGTGTGGTGTGGTGGGAAGGTCTCATACACACTTGGTTATACTGGGAGCCGGTTTTCTCTAAACAGAAAGCGAGCAGGGGCGACGCCAGCGGTTATGTTAGACATTTTGATATTAGAATTACTAGCACAACAACCCAAACAAACCGCTTGCAACCAAAACAGTCGTCCTCACGGGCTCGACACACAAGCTGTCTGATACCAAACATCGTACCCTTTTATCTTTGAGCGTAGGCAAAGCTGATGGGAATTCTTCTAACAGCCAGATGCACCTGAGCATAGAGCCTAACACAATGCTGGTACTAAAACAGGCATGCGTCCTTTTATTCAAGACACATCCCTGGGAGGCCCGACGAGGACATCCACAGCTTTGTGAACGACTCTGCCTACAAGCTGGTGCGGGCCCAGGAGGACAATATGGTCCTGAAGCCGTGGGTCCTTCTGGCCTCCCTGCTGCTGCAGAAGCAGGCGGTGGGGCAGGAGCAGGGGACGGCACTGGACGAGCTGACGGCGCAGGCCGTGTGGCTCAGGGACCTTTCCCGGCAGTACGGCGCCTTCCTCCACTGGCCGGGTACACAATGGGCTCAACGCTGACCATCGTACTGCTGGCTCTCTCTGTGCTCAATCCGATTATCTCTCCTTTAGACCAAATGACTCCATCAGAAGTAGTTTCCTCCAGTCTTTCTCTGCATCGGGGTCTGGTGAGGACCTGCGAGGGAAAAGTCCAGCTGGCATTGGAACATGGTTTGTGTTTGTTGGTGTTTCTTGCTTCGGGTTTAGCTTTATATTCATGTAATTTTTATTTCACCTAACATCAGGGTAACTCTACGAAATGAAAGATCTTTAGAAAACAAAAACACAACGGAACATTTCTTTCCCAACAGCCAATGTCCTGTGATCGCAGACTGAGAGTCCTCAAAACCAGCTGTGATGTAGTGTTTTTAAATTATCATTTGCCAGATGCATTTCTAATTTTTTTTTTAGAACAAATTTGTAATTTATTTGCTGCTAAATGTTCTGTATATATCAGTTAACTGACACACTACTGTCTAAATTCAGACTACTACTACTATTTTGTCATTAAATTCCTTATGTACTTATATGTTTATATATATATGTGTAATTAATACTAAATAAGTTCAAATTAAGGGTTACCAATGCATGAAAGGATTACCAAAACCTGAGAACCTGTGTGTCTTTTTCTGAACTGTATTTCAGAAGGAGGAGCAGTGGGGCCCCAAAGCGCTGCTGCCCTAGAAGAGAAGCTCTTAAGCCAGGCAGTCATCGTCCTCTCCTGCGCCTCCTACAGGAACCAGGCTCTGCACGTTTTTCTCCGGCCGGCTCTGCTGGCCTCCGCTATCCACGCCGCTTCCTCCAACCAGAAACGTAAGACTGAGACACACAGTTTGCCTTTTTAGAAATGCTGCAAGCAACACATTTAATGGTTTTATTTAATTGTTTCAGTCTCGACATTCCACAACAATTTATGTGCCTTTCGTACATCAACTCTGTCTTGTTTTGTTATCCTCGGCATCGCATTGGCTGGTTCCTCCGCATGTTGATTCTGATTGTTTTGCAGAGGAGGTCTTCAACAGTTTCAGCTTCCTGAGGAACATGTTTTCCAATGAGTTCATCCTCTGCCCTGGAGCTACAGTGCAGGTCAGCAACAACATTTACACACCGCTGTGCCCCAAATCAAAGTGAATGACTTTGGTTTAAATAAATAATTTCATGGCCACAGCGTTCGGGTGTCACTCTGTGTTGTGCAGGACTTTGAGGAGGCCTGTTACCTGCTGGTGAAGACAGGAACACTGCAGGTCACCCAGAAGGAGGTTCTGGTGAACGAAAGAGGACACAGGACACTGGCCTTCCTCGTCAGTATGCTGGATCCCTTCCTACAAGGATACCAGGTGAGGGAGACACGTGGAGGCTGGTTGTGTTGCATGATTTGGATACACAAACGTAGTTGTGTGAAAAATATTCAGTCAAAGCAGAGAGTATCTGCACATTGTATTAAAGACTGAGCTATTAGGTAATGGATATGCAATGTTTTTTCATTTATTCATCACATTTATTTAGGTCTGACAATAACGGAGATAATAAGAGTAGAATTGTACTTATGTGATGTTTTTTTTTTACAGCCCACGCCCATTCGCAGCCCATTCGCTATTTGCAACTTAAGTGCAAGATATATTAATCTAACAGCATGTATTTATAAATATCAGGGTCGTCCTCTGTTACCCAGTGCATTTAAGTTCAAGTAACCTTTTTGAACACTTGATATGTTTTTATCCTTATATGGGCTCAAACTTAATTTAAACAACACATAATAAATCACATTGCTGAAACTTGCAAAGACGGTATGTATGCAAGTTAGAGTACGTGAAAACATCCCACATGTTCTCACTAATGATCGGAGTTGTTGAAAAAGCTTTGTGTGGGTGATGCACCAGATGTCCGCTGGAGGATGCTGATAACGTGTGTGTGTGTGTGTGTGTGTGTGTGTGTGTGTGTGTGTTGGTTTCAGGTGGTGTGCCGGTTTTTGTGTGAAGAGGCCACTGAGACTCTGACAGAAAAACAGTTTATTCCTGCCATCCGGAAATTCATCATCAAACATCTTCTAGCAGGTTTCTGTTCTTAAAAATGTTCTCAAATCATCATTTTTTTTGTCCTTGTTCTAATCACATGTTGTAACTGTGTGTGTTATCCAGGTAGACTCCGGTATGCTGAAGTGTTGTCGTCTGACCTTCAGAAAAACTCTTTGGCTGCCTTTCTAAGACTCGGAGCTGTAGAGAAAATCAAAGGGTATGTTTGTTTTGATCATTCTTCCATCCCTGGTTTGTCAAGCCAACACTTTAATGACAGCTGTACTGTATATTAATGAGGGACCACCATCCTCTGGAAACTACACAAGCTACCTGAATTCAGACCGCACTATATGTTATACCTTTTAGCTTAACTAATAGTTCTATGTTTTTATAATTTTAACATGAACATGTCAAATGCATGTGGAGAGAGTCTAACCATAACTGTACAAAAACAGGATTTAAGAAGCGCAGGATTATTTACATAATATTATTGTATATGTAGAATTAACTATGGAATTAATCAATATGTCATTTCTTATCACGGTTATTGCAGTCCAATTGAGCTGTTGATAGTATTTCATACATGAAAAGTCATGAAAGGTGAGTGTGTTTCAATTCGATAAAATATAGTTGAGGAAAAATGAATTTGTACATGATAAAAGACTCTTTGAAAATAGATTTTTTGTTTATTTTGATCACGCAATCAGGAATCAGGAATCATTTATTTACCAAAAAATAGACAATGCTGCAAGACAATGCTGGCCAACAAATTGCTTTTGTAATCCGTGCTTGCTTCACAAGAAAAACATGAAAAATGAGTAGTGCATAGCTGTTGTGCATTTGTGGAATTTGCTTCAGAAGTAATCTAAACCGTAGCAACAAAATGCTCATTCTCTGGAGAATATGGCTGACATTTTCACACAAAAAAACAATTCACTTCAATAAAACTGAATTTGTTAAGTCTGCCTGACTAAGCTCCAAGCAGCAATGATTTGGTCAAATCATCTCATGTAAACCACGTACATTGTGACTGTTTTGTGCGCTGTAATAATGTAAGCTGTGTTTTACTCCAGCGTGGATCAGGAGACGTTAAAGGTCAACGCGGCGATGGTGAACTCGTTGGAAGACACTCTAGGTAAGAAACAAGCCGTCCGTTAAGCTCTCTCCGGGGGAAACAAATCTTTTTTTTTTTCTCTACAAAGAACTAAAGCAAATCTCAAATGTGTCTCCTTGTCTAGGAGGAAAACTTCCCACTCAGAAAGCGGTCGTCGCTCGCCTCTAATCCACCGACCTCGTTATCCGAAAGGGGTTGAAGAGTGTTGATCATTTCTTACCTGCATCCACCGACGTATCGGCTCGACCAGACAAAAGGATTGCTATTTGGTGAAAGCTTAATTTATTTTCTTTATCGTCGCCTCTTTTCTCAATGTGCTCCTTTTGTGTGTCTCTCCCTCTCGCCCATCTTTCTATTGAAAAAAAGCTTTTGTATATGTTAATAAAGCCAGGTGATGAGTAAGGCCTGCACAGGTTGATTTTCACGCTCTTTGAGTTATTATGAAAAAGGGGCTTTTTCAGGGGTGAAAGCTTCTGAATGTGCCACCTCCACTCAGCATAGTGGCCATTCCCACTCGTGCATGGCTGAGTATCTTCAGCTATCAGTGTGCCTTTCCTTGGTGTCATTCCCCATCTGCTAATCCGTTGCTAGACTTGTCTCTTTTTATTTTGAGCACTTTAATGAATTTGTTCATGCAATGTGGAGTAGACTTATACCTTAACACCGTTGACATACCGCTTCTCATTTCTTGTGGAACAAATGAAATTTGTGGATTTGAAGATTTGGTTGGTCACATAATTTAGTTTTTGGGTTTAAACTTTTTCTTTTGCACCGTTTGAACAAAAGATTATACGTATTTGAGTTGAACTGCCACAGACCCAATGCCTTCTACAAGAACAGCTGGTTTAAAGTGTCATGGCTGGAACACACAGAGCTTTGTTCATTGTTGTTTACACAGCACAGGTAATGTTACAGGTGTGTTGCAGGTGTGTTGCCAGTTGCCAAACTCTGTAAAATTGCAGTTAGTTGTTCCCGAAGCACCAGCTACACCAAAGGGACGAGTTGGACGCAGATGATTTAGATAATTTGATCGCAAGTGTAGAATAGTTACTGGTTTGAATATACAGACTATATAGTTTATTTATATTCAAAGCAATACATTATTGATGACGTTTTGTTACAGGGAAAACTAGGTGAGCCAAAACAAAGTAAAATATAAGACAGAAACTTTATTAAAGTTTTGAAAATATTCAAGTTGATGTAGTTAACAGACATGTTGCGAAGGTGAAGGGTGTAATTTACAATAAACTTTGGGTTTTACAGAAATTGACACATCCACCGATACGCTTTTATTCTGACCAGACAATAACCAGTACAAAATGTTTTTTTTTTATTGTTGCCAATATGATACCGGAGTTTTGGAGAACATTTTTGATACCTCTTTCTAAAATATTTTTGCGTTCCTGTTACTGAAGCCTTCGGTTAGTCTTTCAATTTTCATAACTCTTTTTCTTATTGTGTTATCAGCTCAAAACGAGCGCTCACTGTCTACCAGACTCCGCCATGTTTTACTGCCAACCTTCAGAACCTGGAAAGCAGTGTGTGTGTGTCAAAACCAATGTGTGTTCATGGAACACGGGATTGTCAACTACATGTCCTAAGTTAACCCTAAAATGGTTGAAGACGTCTGTTGAGATTTTGAAAATGTGAAATCTTAATTCTTTTGTTGTATTAGTTTTACCTTTTTTGTAAAGGACTTGGTTGCGCAATTGTTTGCTTGAATGATCTTAAATGCTCTAATGAAACGGACCAATATGAGTCTGGTGTTCTTGTTGAAAACTGTGTGTAGCACACGTGGAGTTCTTCATCTTCCATTTTGAAACCAGTCACACTTCACAATCAAATGATCCCAACAATGTAAAAATTTCACCTCCAGCTTTTGATTTTTTTTTTAAATTGATACTGTAAAACTCACAGAAGTAACCCAACTACTAGTTACCTCTGCAGCTAACTAATGTTTGTAGAACAACAATCTGCCTGTCGAAACATCCAAACTAGACAGCACAACGGTTTTATACACTATAATGTCTGAAGATGACTCATTTGTGTGATTGTGTGCTTTTTAATACAAACTGTAAATGCCTGTTAATAAAGAGTTTTGAAATATGAAATTTGAGCCCAGATTGTGTCTCTTCTGTGAAGCTGCATCCATCATTCCTTTAAAAAAACCTCTTATGATGAACTCCGAGAAACAGTTTGATCCTAATTGATTACATGATATGATCATATATTCAATGATGCGGATGTATTTACTCAAATCAACAGAGAAAACCAGTTTTATAAACGACTGGCCCCTGGTCCAGGGTTTGGTGCAGAGTTCAGAAGCCGCTGTTTGTTTGTAAACTGAAACCACTCATAAATAACCAGTGACGTAAGAAGTGTTCAGATCATCAAATCCTCACTGTGCATTCTTTACCCTGATCTAAAACTCCTTCAATGTTTTGAAATCTACTGCTAATTTGAAGCACTGAGTTCAGTATTTTACGAAAATAAAATAAAATCATTTATAAAAATAAATGATGTTTTTGGATCAATATGTTTATAGATGTTTAAGCTTATGTTAACTTAACATCCACCTTTATGCTGATGGTTTGCTTAATACGGTAATGCATTGTCACCTGTGGAGAGCATCATATTTTTGTGGCGTTGCCGACCTTGTATCTAAAAAATATTTATTTTATAATAACCACAGCTTTCAACTTGATGCATTTTGCCGCTGATCCAATGGGCCTTTGCCAGTATTATAAATTTATAATATATATATATATATATATTATAAATGTATTTATTTATAAAGTTATTCAAAAACATTTGAAATGCCTCCAGATGTGTACAGTTTTCACTGGATGGACCGGGTAGAATCCCAACATGAAAAGTAAAGTAACTTAAACCAACAAATATTTTTTTTATGTATATTCCATAACTGCAAAAATGGTGAAGCATGAAATGTTTAGTGTCTGTGAGAGCAAACAACCTCTAGGTGTCAGACTTGCCTCTCTTTGGGCCATTTGTTTTTACGGCAGGTTGGTCTCACACACACACACTTGCATTTTTCATCATTTTTTTGGGTGCTCTGCTGCTGAGTCAGAGACTGCTCCCCGAAAATCCAGCACTTCCATCGTTTTCTCTCACACTCAGTATCTGATAAAGTTCCTCTAAAGTTGCCGTACCAAATTGCTTGTATACACACTCGGTCCATCCATCCATGGGTACATTTATTTCCTCCTTCTGCTTTCTCCTCCATTCCATCCATATCCGTCTCCCTGGTGGTGGTGGTGGTGGTGTATAACAGTGTCGGCCACGGCCACATCAGCATTTCACCTGTTATGATTATGACATTATAACAAGTTGCATGGGGGGGGGGGGGGGGGCACGCACATCTCCCGTCCACACCTACAGGAACACAGTGAACTTTCTGATCCGTGGCAGCTGCTGGGAAACAAAGGCAGTGGACGGAAGTGCATTTTGTGTGTGTGTGTGTGTGTCTGAGACTGAGTGCGCTTGGTTTGTGCCCAGAGGGGTTTGTGGAGGTCTATATGCTGGGAATTGATTGAAAGAGAAAGGGACCCTGGTGTATAATGTTTCAGCGAGTAACCTTAGGTAATGGTAGGTTGATGGATTCGGCTCATTTGCTGCAGCAGATCCATCCCGTTTATCAGCGCTGTGCTGGAGGCTGAAACATTTACATACAGGAGGGGGATGCAGCACTCAAACCTCACATTTGGGGCCTGGCAGAGATCACTGGGGAGAGTCAAGGAGATCCCATTTACTTTAGGTTTCTTCAATCAAGGCTGATACAGAAAGCCTACCGGCTGAGCTACTATTCCATCATCAAAACATCAGTATTCTTCCCTGAAACTTCTCCTCTCATTCTTCATCAGCAGAGTAAATAAAAATACTCCCAGAACCCACCTTCATAGCCACAAACGATCTGCCAATGACACAGGAATTGAATAGTGCAGTTTGAAGAAAATTAAACTTTCCAGCGAAGATGGAAAAAAGATTGAATCTGCTGAGCAGTTATTTTTACTCCTTAGTTTTCTGAATGTGTACTGGTTACTGAAGCTTCAGTCCCCAGTGTCACCGCATCCTCTTTAATGCTGAGAAATGATGCAGCCATGGGCACAATTTGATCCCTCAAGATGTTCCATGAGATGACTATCATTCCCTGTAATGGATACTTTAGAGAAAGCAGCAATCATTTCTGCATTTTGTTCTTCTGTTGAAGAGTGCGGTTGTGGGGCATGAGGGGACAAGTATATAGGATACCTATTTACATTTTCCTCTACTTTAAACACTAAATCCACTAGAATCTACTGGCAAAAGTACTTTTATTTTTCCGCTACAATTCATCAACGGAGGATTTTATTATAAAATGATTGTAATGATACTTAAACTGCAGGTTCTGAAATGTTTTGGCTTTTGACCTCAGAAGCTATCTTCAGATAGGCTGCACCAAAGGGACGTTTCTATCAAACTCTGGTTTTATTTTAATTAACATTTTGAAGCTCAAAAAGAAAAAATTATCAGTAAAATGCAAGGCTGAAAGCGCCACCCAACTTTCCTTTAAAGCAATACATGGTATAAAGGTTATGTTAAGTGATCTTTTCATTTTACGCTATTTCTCCAAATCCAATCTGCCACACTTAATCCACTACGTAGTGCACTGCAAAAGTACCATATTTACCAGATATTCCACTATATGTGAATAATTTTGAACACAACCATGATCTTTTTCCACAAATAAAACGTCTCATAATCTGATGCGAAAAGCAAAACAAATACGTTTAAAATAAACAATTTATTCTATAGACCTATGAAACTTCAGTCGACAAAAGCTTTTAGAAAACTTCTGCCATCTCGCTGCACCGCTGTGTTTCTTAAACTCCATCAGAACAGACACCTCCACCTGTTAACATATGCTGTCGAGTTATGCCCCTGCTACAGATTGCATTCGCCACCAAATTGAATAACGTCTCCCTTTGCCAGTTTACCAGCTTGTTTCACAACAGGAGGCTCAGATTCTGTCGCAGCTACGTCCAAAAATCAGCCGCTCAGCAGTTAATTGTACCAATTAGATCCGTGCAGCTCAACGCGTTCCTCGACAACTAGAGCGTGAGATCTCGTTTGGTGCGTTTTGTTGAAGATGGAGTTGAGATGTTTGTTTCCCCCGCTTGCAATCCCAATGCTAAGCTAGGCTAATTGTCTCCCAGCTAACTCTGTGCTGAATGTAGACACATGGGAAATTAAAGCAACTAGTGCACAGCTGATTTGTAAAAAGTATTTTTGGGGAGCGATGGGCATGTTGCTATAGAATTTAAACATTTTTTCCTCTTTGGTTTCATATCAGAGGACAGCACATTACCGCTGAGGGAGAGAAGCGATGAAGTGGCAGCTCATCAATAGCACCACATGCTCTCTCTGAGGGTTGTGTGACTCTCGGTCACACCGGCTTTCATCTGGCTGCTGTCAGCCTCCTGCAGCGATGATATTGCCAGGACCGGGGAGCCGAGAGTCAAGTTTGCTTTTGTTCCCGCCGACTTAATTAGGTTTTTATGCTTTTTTTTAAGTCAACTTTTCGAATGTGTAATTTCTTCTAAAAGTTAGAACACACTTTTTCCAAACTTGTATATAATTGGTATATAGAAATATATATACTGTACTGAAAAAAGTCAACAGCCATGGGGCGTATTTTCCTACAATTACAATCAGGCATCTATGATTCGTAGAGAAGGAACTCTGATTCTTTTCATTTAAACTGTTTTCTTGCTTTTGCCGTGTGCTATGCCCAATAACTCATCCATGAGTATCTGCTTCTCTCAGAACGATTGAAATAGAATAACACGCGAGGCTCGCGGGAATGTAACATCAAAAGCCAGAAAGATCAGGTGGCTTCTGGAGGACGTTGATGGGTAAAAACATTGGACTTTCACACAGGAGCCTGATATTTACTACATGAAAAAAAAGTTTTGTTCACGCTTTTGAAGTCGTAACGTTATTCTGCAATTATTACTTATATATGTATTTTTAGCAGTTTAAAACATGATCTTTTTCTTTACTCTCAAAGTGTTTTTTTCCCTAAACGTAATCGTTTACTGCCAACTAAAATAAATAGATACAGTTTAGGAAAAAAACAATGACAAAAGCTGTTTTTATATAATTTTGTATGAAGTGAGCAGGTAGTTTATTTTAAGCATAAGGCTCACACCATTAAGCATGCCTTTCATTCACACATCCAGACAAAACCTCCCCTCAGTCCTCTCAGATCTGCTGCAATGTGGAGCCGGACTAAGTGAGGGAGAAGACAAACGAGGCCTTTAACGTGCTGGGGAGGGAGAGCGAGGCCGCGATGGATGAGAGACGATGGGGATGCACTCCTGCATCTCCTGCCATGTGTGGCCCGAGAACTTGCGGCAAGTGGCCCCCTGGAGAAAGACGGAGAGCAAGAGAGAAAAGAGGGGACGGCGCCGGTACGCAGAAAGAGTGAAAGCGACAGAAAGCGATCCGGGGGAAAAGGAAGGAGAAGGAGTGAGGGAGCGCACTGGGCGAGGCTGACGCTTTGTCACAGGCAGAGCTGGTTGTCAGATGGGCTAATGCTGCCTCGGTTCAAGTCCCTCTTAAAGACGTCAGATCACACAGGCAGATTGCCGTGGAGGATTTGAGGCAGACGCCCGCCAGGGGAGCTGGGAAATTGCATTTGCTGCCTGCTACAAGATCCTGATAAGAGCAGATTTGTTCTAAGAACGCAATGACAGGGCAAGGTTATCACAAAGCTGCCTTCCGCCTCACTGCAAAGGAGAGCAGAGGGGAGGCCTCCTGAAGACAAGGAGAAACTCACAAGATTACTGTGTAAACATGATGATGCCTGTCCATAATGTCTTCCTGCAGAACAAGAAAGCGTGCAGCTGCCAAGGGTTGCTATGTATGTCTTCATACACAGAAGAAGCTTGAGACCATTCCGGGGGATTATCGTAGCAATAATGAACGACACGTTGCAAAGTGGAGTTTGAACTGATTTCAGCATCATATTGGAGTCAGCTGTTTTTGACGGAGGAAATCCCAGATATGTTATTATATTTATTTGTTTCATCGCCAGTATAATTATCAACAC